CTTTCAGAGCTGTTCTCTCAAGAGCAGTTCTCGAACAAGAGCTCTCTCAGCTCCACCTACCTCACAGGGTGTCTGTTCTGGGGAGGGGAAGGGAAAGGAGATTGTAAGCCGCTCTGAGACTCCGAGTGAAGGGCGGGGTATAAATCCAATCTCCTCTTCCTCCCCTTCCCCTCCCCCTCCTCTTTTTCTCCTCCTCTTCCTCCTCCTCCTCTTCCCCCTTCTCCCCCTCCTCTCCCTCCCCCCCTCCCAACCTGAATTGGCTTTGAAAATAGCATAGCTAGTCAATTTTCTAAAAAGGGAGTGAGAAACTCAGCCCGTAGCTTCTTGGCAATAGCGTGCCTTTTTAAAAACCCAGTTTTGCCCTGGATATTTAAAGGCCCTGAGTTTTAATTCAACCAGAGGCTCGCTTCACTTTCTGCCCCCCACTGACTGGGTGGTGCTACCCCAAACTGAATCGAAGGGTTCCACCTAGTGCAGGACGGCTAAGCGTACCAGGCATCCTGACCTGCTGTCTGAGGAGACCTCCCGGCCATCTGCCTCCCATCCCCACTGCTGCTTGGCAAGGTGGTGGGGAAAAATGGGGGTGGGAAGTCATCATGCCATTGGTGCAAACCTGAAAGTGTGTGACTGCAATAAAAAAAGGTCAATGCTATGCTGGGGATTATTAGGAAGGGGACTGAAAACAAGTCAGCCAGTATCATAACGCCCCTGTATAAATCGATGGTGTGACCTCATTTGGAGTACTGTGTGCAGTTCTGGTCACCACACCTCAAGAAGGATATTATAGCATTGGAAAAAGTGAAGAAAAGCGCAACTAGAATGACAAAAGGGTTGGAACAGTTTCTCTATGAAGAAAAGTTAAGGCGCTTGGGGCTCTTTAGCTTGGAGAAACGACGACTCAGGGGTGACATGATCGAGGTTTATAAGATTATGCATGGGACGGAGCAGGTAGAGGAAGAAGTACTTTTCTCCCTTTCTCACAATACAAGAACTCGTGGGCACTCCATGAAATTGCTTAGCACTCGGGTTAGAACAGATAAAAGGAAGTCCTTCTTCTCCCAAAGAGTGATTGACACATGGGATTCACTGCCACAGGAGGTGGCAGCAACTATAAGCATGGGAAGCTTCAAGAGGGAATTAGATAAACAACTGGAGCAGAGGTCCCTCAGTGGCTATTAGCCACAAGGTACAGACAGGAACTCTCAGTCTGGGGCAAGGGATGCTCTGTATTCTTGGTGCTTGGGGGGGGGAGCAACAGTGGGAGGGCTTCTAGTGTCCTGGCCCCACTGCTGGACCTCCTGATGGCTGCTGCAGAGGTTGGACTCTATGGCAGCCTACCCACTGAGGTCCCCTCCCTTCTCAAACTCCACAGGCTGCACCCCTAAATCTACAGGTATTTCCTAAGCTGTAGTTGGCAGTCCTGTAAGAAGAGGGCTATGGGTTGCAGATAAGAACATAAGTGCATAAGAGAAGCCAATGTTGGATCAGGCCAATGGCCCATCCAGTCCAACACTCGTGTCACACAGTGGTCAAAACCCAGGTCTCATCAGGAGGTCCAGCAGTGGGGCCAGGACACTAGGAGCCCTCCCACTGTTGCCCTCTCCAAGCACCGAGAGTACAGAGCATCACTTGCCCCAGACTGAGAGTTCCTATCTATACCTTGTGGCTAATAGCCACTGATGGACCTCTGCTCCAGATGTTTATCCAATACCCTCTTGAAGCCATCCATGCTTGTAGCCGCCGCCATCTCTTGTGGCAGTGAATTCCATGTGTTAATCACTCTTTGGGTGAAGAAGTCCTTCCTCTTATCCGTTCTAACCCGACCGCTCAGCAATTTCATGGAGTGCCCACGAGTTCTTGTATTGTGAGAAAGGGAGAAAGGTACCTCTTTCTCTACCTGCTCTATCCCATGCATAATCTTATACTCGATCATGTCACCCCTCAGCCGTCGTTTCTCCAAGCTAAAGAGCCCCAAGCGCTTTAACCTTTCTTCATAGGGAAAGTGTTCCAACCCTTTGATCATCCTTGGTCCCGTTCACACGAGGCGATTTGGCCCGGGAGCGGGACAGTTCCGGGGCGGATCAAACCGGCGCGATCATACCACAACATCTGGGAAGCGTCGTGATACCGTCCCCGAACTGGCCCTTTCCCAGCAAAATGCGCCTCAACTTGCAACCACCTACCTCGGTGGTTCAAGTGGAAGTGGCGCAGCAAGCCGGGCGTTTGATCGCCGGCGCGTCCTTGCGCCGGCACAACCTCGGCCCGGAGCCAAACTGCGCATGCTCTGACATGTGCAGTTCGGCCGGCTAGGCGTCCGAACTGTGTTTTCTCCCCGGCGTTTGATTGCGCCAGGGAGAAAAGGCACCGCTGCCAGGGGATCCGTGGGATCCCGCCGCGGCGTCTCAACGTTGGTGCGGCTTTTAAAAGCCGCGCCTTAAGAGGCTTTTCCCCTGCCGTGTGGCAGGGCCCCTAGTTGCCCTTTTCTGCACATTTCCCAATGCTATAATATCCTTTTTGAGGTGTGGTGACCAGAACTGTAGACAGTACTCCAAATGAAGTCACACCATCAATGTATAGAGGGGCATTATGATACTGGCTGATTTGTTTTCAGTTCCCTTCCTAATAATCCCCACTTCCCCAGGATAGCGTTGGATGGTAGAACACACACCAGTATGACTCACAGCCTGGTTGCCAGTTGCGAATAGGGATCCAATTTTTCAACAGTCCGTTTGTTCGTTCACCTGTCGTGCGACCATTCAGTGGGTGGCCTCGACCTGTTTCTTCCTAGCAGGAGCAGCTTTCATGCCTGTATATTCTCACCCAGCCCACCGGAGTGCTTCTTCTTCTTCCCCCTCTTTGCGGCATGGCTGCAACCACTTGGCAGGCGACTGTTTAAACAGATGGTTGAATCAGTCACAAATCATATAAATCAACTGGTTGTTTTTTTTTCTTCCCCTAAAAAAAGAATATCCTGCCATTTGGCATTTGTTTAAGTAGTACTTAGCTACATTAATGGCTGCTGACCTGTTTGGATTGGCAGCATTTTCATGCATGCACCATTCTGCAAACACCAATTGTGAATGTGCTCGGGGGCCGTTAGAGCTCTCCGGTGCCAAACCAAACAGGCTTGATGATCGGCTCACGTCTGACCATCACAGTTAAATATGAATTAATTTTGAGTCCACTGGCACCTTGAAGACCAACAAAGTTTAATTCTGGGTATAAGCTTTTGTGCGCACACAGACTTCTTCAGATACATTGAAGCAGACTTCCTCAAGTCCTACATACAGGCGGTGGTGGGGAGTTATTTGCCAGGAAGGGCTAGTTAGAGTCAAGATGCATAAGCAGGGCTATTTTGGGGCAGGAACGCACAGGAACAGAGTTCCGGCTGGCTCCCGAGTTGGCCACGCCCAGCAGGAACTAGTTAGCATAATAGGACACACCCAACAGCAGAAACGCATTAGGATTGGCTACATTAGGGGTGTGTGGCCTAACATGCAAAGGAGTTCCTGCTACAAAAAAAGGCCCTGGGTTTTGACCACAAACAAGGTCAACAGAATAAGAATCAAAAGGTGGGTGTGGCTGGATGACCACATTTCTGGTAACATGGGGGTGCAGCCTAATATGCCAATGAGTTGTGCTGTCAGGGATGTGGCCTAATATGCTAATGAGTTCCTGCTCTTGGGTGTGGCCTATTATGCTAACGAGTTCCTGCTGGGCTTTTTCTACAAAAAATGCCCTGTGCATAAGTAACTGTGCGATGAGTATAGCTGTGACTGGATTAAAGCAGTTGGTAAGATTGGATCACTGCCTTGTCGTGGCGAGGGGGCTTGCGTGGTTCGATGAGGCTGTGGGCTATGCCGTGGAGGGCCACCCAAGACGGACAGGCCACATCAGAGAACTCAGACCAAGTGTGATCCACTGGAGAAGGAAATGGCAACCCACTCCAGTATTTTTGCCAAGAAAACCCCATGGACAGTAGCAAAAGGCTACAAGATATGACGCCGGAAGATGAGCCCCTCAGATCGGAAGGTGTCCAATATGCTACTGGGGAAGAGCAGAGGGCAAGTACAAGTAACCCCAGAAAGAGTGAAGCGGCTGGGCCAAAGCCGAAAGGACGCTCAGTTGTGGATGTGTCTGATGGTGAAAGGCAGGGGTCCTTTCGTAGAAAAAGAGGTGCAGGAGGTCATTAGCATAACTCATTATGATAACTTATTTGCATATGCCACACCCCCTGAGCTCACCGGAAGTGTGTCAGAATGTAACACGCACTGTAATTTACCTGGCTGCTTCTTGCTCCTCATGGCCCGGGGCTGCTGGGAGCAGGGAGCGGGACTTGTTGCATGAGCCCGCCCCCTGGGCTCTTTACTGCCGGAGCTCCGCTCCTGTGCGCTCCTGCAGGAAATGACCCCTGGTGAAAGGAAAGTCCGATGCTGCAAAGAACAATAGGACGGCAGAAGACAGGAAGGCCTGGCGTGATCTGGTCCATGGGGTCGCAAAGAGTCGGACTCGACTGTGCGACTGAACAACAACAACAACAAGATCTGTGAATAGCAGCAAATTAGTATACAAATACAAGAGTGCCCTCTCTCCCCCTATATGTCAGGCTTAAGGAAATCTGTTCCAATGTATTTGAAGAAGTGTGCGTGCACACGAAAGCTTATATCCAGAATTAAATTTTGTTGGTCTTTTTTTTTTTGACATGTTTTTAAATGTGCGTGTGTATGCGTGAGTGTGTGTGCACCTGAGATTCATGGCCGTCTCTGGTGATACTGACCCCTACTGGGGGCCTGGAGGATATTCAGAGAGGTGGCTGAATAAAGCCTGCCCCTGTCCTCCTGCCTCTGGCATTCCAAGGAGGTCTCCCATCCAAGTACTTGCCAGAGTCGACCCTGCTTCGCTTCCGAGATCTGACGAGATCGGGCTTGCCTGTATTGTCTGCAACAGCAGCTGTCCAGCGTCACAGGCTTCCATATCAGCTACAGTCCGATCCTTTTAACTGGAGACGCCGGGGCTTGAACCTGGGACCTTCTGCATGACAAGCAGGTGCTCTACCACTGAGCCACAGCCCCTTCTGCTGGGGAGTTATGTTGGACCATGACTCCCTTTCATAGTACATCACAAGCTAGGTCAGGTTTCCCCCACACGGTGCCCTCGGATAACATAGTGCCTGTCAGGGCTCTTTTTGTAGAAAAAGCCCAGCAGGAACTCATTAGCATAATAGGCCACACCCAACAGCAGGAACTCATTAGCATATTAGGCCACACCCCTGACAGCACAGCTCATTACCACATTAGGCCGCACCCCCACGTTACCAGAAGTGTGGTCATCCAGCCACACCCACCTTTTGCTTCTTATTCTGTTTACCTTGTTTGTTGTCAAAACCCAGGGCCTTTTTTGTAGCAGGAACTCCTTTGCATGTTAGGCCACCCCCCCTAATGTAGCCAATCTGAATGAGTTCCTGCTGTTGGGTGTGGCCTATTATGCTAATGAGTTCCTGCTGGGCGTGGGCAACTTGGGAGCCAGCCGGAACTCCGTTCCTGTGCGTTCCTGCCCAAAAATAGCCCTGGTGCCTGTCCATACTTCCCGTGGTGCCTGCTGCCATGCTTTCCAGAGAGTGGGTAGAGTCTGTGTAGGGTATGGCTTGTTATTGACTGCCCTCATTCAAAGGAAAGGATTTTCCATGGTTGGAATAGCAGCCGCAGCCACTGGAAGATCAGGAGAGCCCTGGTTTTCCTCAGTCAGTGGGTGGTTCCATTCCAAGTTGCAAAGCCGCATTCCCTTCAGGGAACACAAAGCCGGACATAGGAAAGAAAAATGGCGGACCTGTGCTCGGGAGTAATGTTTGGCCATGGCTTCCTTCCATGTCAACAGTTGCATCGTTGGAAACATGTATCCCACCCTGCTCCGGATTTGCTCAACGCCAGATAAAGAAGAAGAGTTGGGTTTCATACCCCGCTTTCCTCTACCCAAAGGAGTCTCCAAGCGCCTTACAATCACCTGCCTCTCCCCACAACAGGCGCCTTGTGAGGCAGGTGGGGCTGAGAGAGTTCTGACAGAACCGTGAACTGGCCCAAGGTTACCTGGGAGGCTTCAAGTGGAAGAAGAGTTGGTTTCTATACTCACTTTCCTCTAACTTTAAGGAGTCTCAAAGTGGCTTACAATCTCCTTCCCTTCCTCTCCCCATAACAGGCACCTTGTGAGGCGGGTGGGGTTGAGAGAGTTCTGAGAGAACCGTGACTGGCCCAAGGTCACCCAGCAGACTAAATGTAGAGGAAGACAAAGAAAAGTTGGATTTTTATACCCACTCTTCACTACCCGAAGGAGACTCGGAGTGACTTACAATCTCCTTCCCTTCCCTTCCTCTCCCCACAACAGGCACCTTGTGAGCAGTGTTCCCTCTAAGCTGAGTTAGCGTGAGCCAGCTCACAGTTTTTTAGCCTCCGGCTCGCACGTTTTTCAGCCTCCGGCTCACACATTTTTCTCTTTGTTCGGGAAGGAGGGCTCCAGAACAAACTAATTTATGCAGCAGCCAAATCGCTCGCTCACAGCTTTAATGCCAGTCGCTCACAAAGTAGAATTTTTGCTCATGAGACTCCACAGCTTAGAGGGAACATTGCCTGTGAGGCAGGTGGGGCTGAGAGAGTCTGGAGAGAACTGGGACTGGCCCAAGGTCACCCAGCAGGCTTCTTGTGGATGCGACATGGGGACTCAGACTTTCAAACCCGGCTCTCCAGATCAGAGTCCGCCACTCTTAACCACTACACCACGCTGGTTCTTTTAACTTCTGGACTTTTGAGCTGTCAAAGTCGATGACAAAATCTGGCGCTGATGTTCACGTCGCCGGATCCGAGCCGCCAGAGCTCTCCGACCCGCCGTGCTCAGAGGAGAAAGGCCTGCCTTGTATCTACAAGTGAGCGTCCGTGAGGACAAAATCACTGAACGGCTCGATCGATCTCTGGCCAGCAGCACATTTTTTAAACACTCATTAGCCTAAATGAACAAGAAGACTGGAAGCGGAGCCCTTCCTCTGTGTCCTGCCAAGCCGCTGCGCGCGAACACGTGTTCTGAATGCCTCGTTGGTTTTAAGAGGCGAACGAATGAGCACGGCGGGGCTCTTTTCTGCAGACAATTAGAGCCTCCCCGAGGCTGGGATGCGTCCGTGCATCTCCGCTTGCTTGACTACCCAGAGCTCGGCCAAGCTGAGGCCTCGTCCCGTGCGTCTCCGTGCATTTCGATGTGATGGATTTGTTCTAGCAGCTAAAGCCTTCAACGCATCCTGAGAAAAACTTCCTTTCCGCTGGAAGGACTTCGCTTGGGAGCCGCAGTCCACCTCTGGTGAAGGAGAGCCTCAGGGCCTGGCCATCACGGATGGGAAACCGAGGGCCCGGAAGAGCCGCAGTCAAAGCTTAAGTGTTCCGAGTGCGGGGAGCATCGCCTGCTATTTCCCGGGTCAGTGGTTTTTCTAGTGGCGTGCCTGGAGATCAACACTGAGCATTCGCCCGCCCTGAAAACCGCCTTGGAGATAGATCGAGAGGAGTCCCCATGTTAGTCTGCGTGTAGCAGTAGAAACTGCGGTGGCTCAAGTGGTTAAGTAGTTCAGCGGTTCAAGACCCGGGTGCCGCAAGACGGAGTGAGCTCCCCTCTCTAGTTCCAGCTCCTGCCAACCTAGCAGTTCGAAAGCAAGAAATTGCAAGTAGATAAATAGGTACCACTTCGGTGGGAAGGTAACAGCGTTCCGTGCGCCTTGGCGTCTAGTCCACATGACCACATGACCACGGAAACGTCTTTGGACAGCGCTGGCTCTTCGGCTTTGAAACGGAGATGAGCCCCGCAACCCTAGAGTCGGATTCGACTGGCTTTCGAGCAAGGGAACCTTTACCTTTACCTTTAGCAGTAGAAAAGAGCAGGAGTCCAGGAGCACCTTAAAGACTAATGGAATTTGTGGCAGGGGAGGAGCTTCCGTGAGTCACAGCTCACTTCCAAGATGGGTAGCTGTGTTAGTCTGTCTGTAGCAGTAGTCATGTATGGCTGGGAGAGTTGGACTATAAGGAAGGCCAAGCACTGAAGAGTAGATGCTTTTGAACTATGGTGCTGGAGAAGACTCTTGAGAGTCCCCTGGACTGCCAGGGGATAAATCAGTCCATCCTAAAAGAAATCAACCCTGACTGTTCCCTGGAAGGTCAGATACTGAAGCTGAAACTCAAATACTTTGGGCACTCAATGGGAAGGGAGCACTCACTGGAGAAGACCCTGATGCTGGGAAAGACTGAAGGTCAAAGAAGACGGGGGCGGCAAAGGATGAGATGGTTAGACAGGGTTATTGATGCAACGGACGTGAAATTAAGCAAACTCCAGAGCACGACGGAAGACAGGAGAGCCTGGCATGATGTGGTCCATGGGGTCTAGGCTTGCCAAGTCCCCCCGGTGGGCAGGGAAACCCCCGCCCCAGAGGCCTGTTCCCCACCACCGGCGGATTGGGCCCCGGGGGGAACCCCACCCCCAAAGCATGCAACGTGGTTTCGGCGCACGCGCACACTCTCGGAGCAGCACTGGATTCCCCTGCTCCAGCACCGCGTCGGACTTGGCAACCCTAATTTGGTCGCGAAGAGTTGGACTCGACTGTGTGACTGAACAACAACAATAAAACAGTAGAAAAGAGCAAGAGTCCAGAAGCACTTTAAAGACTAACGGAATTTGTGGCAGGGCAGGAGCTTTCGTGTGTCACGGCTCACTTCCAAGATGGGTGGCCGTGTTAGTCTGTCTGTAGCAGAAGAAAAGAGCAAGAGTCCAGGAGCACCTTAAAGACTAACAAAATCTGGGGCAGGGGAGGAGCTTCAGTGAGTCACAGCTCACTTCGTCATTAGCTGAATCAGTATCTGCAGAAGTGAGCCATGGCTCACGAAAGCTCCTCCCCGCCACAGATTTTGTTAGTCTTTTAAGGTGCTACGGGACTCTTGCGCTTTTCTAAAAACTTCCTGTGATCCTGTTTTGAGGCAGAGACATGCAGTGAGTCCAAAGACATGGCTTGTCTCAGCGTGGATTTGTAACGATGTCGCAAATGGTGGTGGTTTCACCGTCAAGCGCATGCTGTGTTGCACAGCCGGGAAAGATCTTTGCAAGGGCAACACTTGTGAGCACCAAAAAAGATGTCAGTGCGTTGCTGGTGTTTGACAAAACTCTGTGGTTTAACCAAAGAGTTTTTCCAAAATCCCCGAGTGCCCGCCAATGATGTGCTGATGTCACTTCCGGGTGCATGGTGAGTGATGCCAGAATGTCAGGAGGTGGCTGAGTTTCCTCCTCCCATTTTGGCACCATTTCCAGCTGAACAGAAGCTGAGAGTGCCTGCTGGGAATGGGCAAATCCCCCCCCCCCACTGGGTACCACTGCAGGCCTTACATTGGTTTCAGGAAGGGACCAAACATTATAGGCAGTTTATATAAAATCACGGGGGATGTACATCTTCTTATTTCCTAGACACGCAAACTGTTAAAGGCAAAAGAGCCGCTTCAAACATAGATCCGCTCAAATCAATGGCACTCGCTTCCGCCAAGTAAAGATCAATGTGAGATAAAAAACTCCCCCCCCCCCATATTTGGGAAGATTTTAATAGGCATGACAGAACTCCACTCCACTCCAATCTATAATCGGTGCTCTCTGTTCTATCTTTTTTCTGGAACCACCCGCACATGGCAAATCTATGATTTCTTGGAAGCTTAATGCCAATTCCTTGACCGGTAAGGCAGGAGGGCAGATCAGCCACCAGGTACAACTTTTTCCTTCTTCCTTCCACATTCCCCCTGAAATGCACGGCAGTCGGGGAGCGTTTGGCTACATTCCAGGGCACATTTTCAGTTCAAAGGCCCAAGAAGAGGAAGAAGAGGAGGAAGAGGAGGAGGAAGAAGAAGAAGAGGAGGAGGAGGAGGAGGAAATTGGATGTATACCCTGCCTTTCACCAGGAGTCTCAGAACGGCTTACAATCTCCTTTCCCTTCCTCTTCCCACAACAGACACCCTGTGAGGTAGGCAGGGCTGAGAGAGCTCTCTTGAGAACTACTCTGGAGAGATCAGCT